ATGGGATTTCTACTCGAACCCACTTTAGCCAAAATCCCATGTGCCTTCACGAAAGGCATTGGCTTTCCAATTGTCCCCTGACATTCAACCGGTATTTTATCGGCTATATATTGACGACTTCTTCCTGTCGTTACGGCACAGGTCGCATGTTGATCAAGGTCTCACTGATCTTAGCGTCCAACATTCTAATATGAAGTTTGCTGAGGAGGAGTAGGATGAAATCGGCACTTTGCCTTTCCTGGTGTACGAGTTCGAAAGCCACAAGGCAAATTTGAAACCTTTGTTTATAGAAAGCCCACGTTCGCTGGTCTTGCGCTGAGTGGCTCTTGCACCAAATTGCACTTGCACTTGCACTGGTTGTCAATATCGTGCGATTGCCTTTTTGACGGGCGGTGTCACCTGTGGGGATAAACGTTGATCATCCTGGAGACCGCGATTCATATTGTAATGCATAGTTTACGTGATCCAGACTGTCCATGCTGTGGCTATCGTGTTCACTGTAAATTACAAAAAAACATGCCCATAATCCCGACCAATATCGTAATGTCGGCCCGTGCTGTCGTCAGTGGTTTCGTCCTGTAAATTGTTCCCGTGTCGGCTACTTTGTTTATGTACGCCGCCACTTGCTACGTTATTTTGCTACTATTCTGTTATTTCATAACGGCTGTGAAACGCTATCTTGTGATGCTTCTGATTGTTGTCTAAACGACACATATCCCAAGCTTATCCTCCGTCTGCTGTATATGATTCCCAGCACTAATTCGTTTAATTATTGTTTCAGTACGATGACCACACTTACGCTAGGAGCACAGTGTAAGTACCATACCGTTTGGTCGGAAATAGCACAACTGTTCACACTTTTCTAGAAACTATTTAATGGAATAGATTGTGTGACTGGATATCTCTGGGATCTTTGGTATGCGTCGCCGGCAAACCTGGCTTGTTGTAAGGACGCTGGCACCGCTTGATAAGCTTAGCAGTATTTAATGTTCTATCAGAGATGTTCATTACGTGCTTATGGGTAAGCCAATCAGGACTTGTAATGGAGATGGGGTCGTTGGATCAGGTATAACATGAACGATTTGTGATCCTATTGGAAATTGGCCTTGTTTGTGATCTAAAATAAGGTCAGAGTCTAGAAGTGAACTGGTGTTTAGTGGCTGAAACCGTACTGTGAAGATGAGGGAGTTATAAAGCTTAACGCAAGCCCGACCGGTTTGTTTTTGTGTTGACATGTGTAAGTATGGAGCTAGCACCTCAGGGGTGTCTTTTTATTAACTTCTTTGGCGGGCTGAGCCAACAGCGTTGACACAACCAGTCATCAAATCTTAACTTCTCACCGGATGTCGGCCACTTTAATTTGCGTTCCCGATATAGAAATTGCAATAGATGAAACAATATTCGGCAGGCTCCAAAATTGCATTGATGTTGAAGAATGATCCTCCATGTAACGGCGATCTATTAATGACGATGACGATATATGATGGCATTGAAAGTCATGCATTTTGCTGCCTGGTGTAACATCCATTTCAGACACTACTGCATTGGGCCAGCATGCCTTTTCTCGCTCATATGCATTGGACATGCTCACAAGCCGGGGCTCAAGCCAGTGAGGTGGGGGGAGTGGAATAAGCCCCTCCCGAAAGTGTACAAACTGGGCATGGCCCCTTTGCACTCGCCCTCGCACGGACGCGTGATGGCGCGCGCGCGCCGGCGGCTACCGAGTCCGGCGCGCGCACGCCGGCAGCTACCGAGTCCGGCGCGCCACTGCTGGTAGCACGCGGCACCAGCCGGCTAGTGACGCCGCGCTGACGCCGCCCGCGCTCACGCCACTCGCGCCGCCCGCTGCCTCCAGGCGGCGTGCGCAGTGGTTCATCCAGCTGTACTGGCTCACCTGGCGCGCGTTCCTGGACAGCGTGCGCAACCCGGCCGTGCACTGGATCCGCATCATCCAGAAGATAGTAAGCGTTTCGGCCCGCCCGGTCTGCGGCTGAATGCGTGTCGGGGAGCACATGCATTTCGAGCCTGCCGTCGATGCGTCGCGTCATTTAATCATGGCCTTGTTTTCGCTGCACGCCAACTGCTTAAACAGGAAGTCACGTGGAGTATTGCGTTGCATTTCTGGAAGCTACCTACTTAGGTATTTCGCTGGGGATCTTATATCAGTACTATGATACGGTTCGGTACGGGGGCGGTCATGGCCGCTGACTTCTTTCGAGGCCGACAAACAGCCTGTTTGAAGGCGTTTAATCGCATTGGACGTGCTCACCTTGGCAGCAGTCATCAGATCTGTAGCCGCTTTCCCACTGCCAGACCCCGCTACGAGCCTCATAAATTATCCTTCCCCGTCCACTCTGTCATCGCAAACGGCGGCTTTTTACCATCATGCGATCACAACACTTATCGCCTGCGCGCTGGAAGTGTGTACAGCCGCTAGTATGTTGTGACACTGAACAGCTGGAGCAGGTTTTCAATGGGGTGGGTTAGCTTTTTTGTAGGGGCCGGCTGGGCATATATGCAAAGCAGTTTGTTCTTTTGAAATGAAACCAGCACATGTGCTTAATTGTTTTTGCTTCACAAGAAAATCGATAGCCTAGTTTGTTCCTTATTTCACCTTACCCTTGAGATTAAATCTAAAAATAACTCACGTCTCGATATCTTCAAGTGACTTCTGCCACCAAGGCTGAAAGTGTGAGTGATGTGTTTGTCACTGGTGACATCAGCAAATTCGAGGAGCTTTGACCTCTACACCACTGACGCATGTTCGCCGTCGTCCAACAGGGCATAGGCTTGATGGTGGGCCTGTGCTTTTCGAACCTGCATTACGACCAGCTGGGAGTGCAGAACCTGCAGGGCCTCATGTTCGTCCTGGTCACGGAGAACACCTTCCCTGCCATGTACGGCGTCCTGTCGCTGTTCCCCCAGGTGAGATCCGCCGCCAGCTGCCGCCACCTGCTCGCGCAGCGGGGCTGGGGCACGGCCCCACCACTGCCCAATCGTAGTCGTGTCGCGCAGGCGCGGCTACTCTAGCTTTTCGTCGGGGAGCTAGCCTAAAAAGCGCGGAGTCACGCTTTGCCCGCCCGCCATGTGCGGTTGGTCACCATGTCCGGTGACGACCGTAGTCAGCCGTGCATCTCCGTACGCAGCCGCCTGGCATCACGGCATCGTGCAGCCCTACACTAGCTCTACGGGGCTGTAAATGTGCACGTGGTGTGCGAGGGTGGTACCCGGTGTTGGTGACACGAGGTGGGTACGGTACTGATTGCTCCTTTTTAAATGTCTTGTGCGTTATCTTGGTCATGATCATGGTCATGGATAGTTACAGCGGTGAACTCTTCAGAATTTAGCCCACGGCTACGGCTACGACAGGTCCAAATAGTCGCGGGACCATGCCGTGGGCTTTGGCGTTTCACGCTATCAATCACGTGGCAAAGGCAGCATAACGTGGCGTGCAAACGATTGATCACTTCCGTTGATTTCGCCTGTAATTTCCGCGATCCCGTTGTGATATCCAGAGATGGCCGTCGGGAAAATCAACCCGCGATATGCGGTGGCTTCTGAAATACCCCGGGTGGTACCAGTCTGAGATAGTATTTGTGCTCCTGGGCAGGCATTAGCTGGAAGAACGTGATGATAGGGCGGTGTACCATCAAATTTATGACCGTAAATATCCAACGGTGTTTTTCCTTAGGTCGTGCGACCGTTCCCATTGCTCGTATGCAGGATATGATGTGATATGATATAAGATGCATACACATCTACATATACATATATACGCATATATGTATGCACATGTATACATACACACACACACACACACCACACACACATATATATATATATATATATATATATATATATATATATATATATATACATGATGGGATATCATATCGATATGAGCTGATGTGGCCTGGCCCGCGGAGGCATACAGATGAGTGTGGATGATTTTCAGCCGGTCGGCTCGTCGACATTTCTTAGAACAACGGCAACTAACGCTAAACTGTGTGTTTGCAAGTTTCACGCTTCAGGACGTGTTATTTTCGCGAAGCATACGCAGAACTTGGCCCAAACCGCAGTGTTTTGTTTGTCCCAAGGTGTGCAATATTTAACCTGATCTGCATAGGTGATGGGGGTTTTCAGTTACGATGTGGACCTGTTTGGACATCTTCGACTTTTTGATGAACCCCGAGAACGGTTAGATCATCCTGATCTCTTGCGAACGGTTGGATTACCCTTATATCATGCAGTTTCTGTCTGTTTGTGTGGTGGGTATAGGACCAGAGTTTCGTAACATCATGATTTGCATATGATTTCAGGAGCTGCCTCTGTTTCTGCGGGAGAACAAGAGCGGCATGTACAGTACGGCCTGTTTTTACATCAGTCGAGTGATATCACTGGTGAGCTTTTACTGCAGCTTGATTTTTCACACGGAGTGGGAACTAGAGTCGAGCTCATTTGTTCCAAACACAAAACCTGTGAAGCTTCATTTTGAACTGTTGAAGGGAGTGTCCCACCATTGGGACACTCCCTCTGTATGCGATACCTTGCAGTAATTGCCTTTGTTAATTTTGATTGTTTAATGTAAATCATTGGTCGGTTTGATTTGCTGCCAGCTGAGATCTGTAGCAAAGTGTTCGGGGTCAGAATGGTCTCTAGGATCGCCATAATAGAGAAATAGAGAGAAAGGTAGAGAGTTCTCGTGAGGTCAGTCCATAAGCACTGAGGCAAAATGATTTGTTGCATCCCTTTTCGAGTTCTTCGCCGCTCCAACAGCAATCTTCTGAAATACCAGGAGAAACATCTTAAGCATACCAGACAGTCGCGGGTGGTAAGTGCCCAGCAAAATTACCCCAAAGCGAGCCCCCACGGTAATCTGTGGTAAGCACACTGAATCCGTGATACGTTTAAAATTCGTTTGCGCTTAAGATTAACGCACTAGATTCGAGTTTAAGAGAGCGTACACTAATGTGTAAAAGGCATTGTAGCACGGCTTTAAATGATTTTGATTCCCGTCCCTGACGACCGTGAAGCTCTGATAGGTAGATGTCCAGCTGTTGATGCCTTTGAAGAACGTGGCGGTTGTGCCGCAAGAGTTGAAACTCTCCGGATAGTTCAAGTACTTGACTCACTCTGTCTACGGTCGCGGTTGTATCAGCTGGCTTGGATTATGCCAAAACCGTTGAGGTCGCGCTTGCCAGTAACTTTACTCGTTGGAATCTGATCCAACTACGTCACCATAGATTTTCATTTCATTTCTCTCAAATACAAATAATGCGAGATAGCATCACAAATAAATGCAGGCTCAGAAACAGCTGTGATAACCTTGAGCTGTACTTCTATTAGTTTAGTCCTATGTATTTATTAGTTTAGTTCTTAGTCCTACTTTTATTAGTATATTTTAGTCCTAAGTTTCGCAGACTTTCTAACGTTCGCATCGCCAGCAACTGAAAGTTGAACATGATAAGCTCCCATGGCATTCGTGAAGCGAACATTTGCACGCAAGACTATTTGAGCATTCCAACATCCGCGATCGGTGTGTTTGCGACTTGCGGATTTGCGCTCCGAGCATTTACATCGACGAGCGTCGGAGCACCAACATTGACTGGAGTGGTATTCGAGTGGCGAACATTTACTGGAGTGGTATTCGAGTGGCGAACATTTACTGGAGTGGTATTCGAATGGCGGACATTTACTGGAGTGGTATTCGAGTGACGAACATTTACTGGAGTGGTATTCGAGTGGCGAACATTTACTGGAGTGGTATTCGAGCGGCTAACATCTGCCTTACGAAACTTCATCCGGCTCCCGCGTTACACAACATGGGCTGATAGATTTTCATTTGACTTCAGATACCGGGATTTGTGCTGGACCCCGTGATCTTCATCAGTCTGATCTACTTCCTCACCAGCCTGCGCAGCGACTTCCAGTCGGTGTTCATGATGTACCTGATCGGCGTCTTCACATGTAACACGGCGGCGGCATGCGGTGAGTCAGCACAGTGTGTTGCCCGTGAAGCAGAATGGCGATTGGCCTGCATCTGCGGGATGATTGGCCTGCATCTGCACGATAATTGGTCTGCATCTACGGGACAATTGGCCTGCATCTGCGGGATGACTGGCCTGCATCTGCAGGATGACTGGCCTGCATCTGCGGGCTAGTTGGCCTGCATCTGCGGGATAATTGGCCTGCGTCTGCAAGCATTAGTACCTCTCTGCTTTAGTGTTCTCTTGTGTGCTGCGGTGTTCGTTTGTGGATTCCAGTGTTCCTCAGTGTCGTCTTCTATTTTTCATTGATCTCCTGTGTTCTTTACTGTTGTTTTGTGCTGTTCAGTTTTCCCTTTTGTTCTTCTGTGTTCTCTCCTCATGTTTGGTCTGCTCCTTGCCTGCTCATAAACATCAGAATCTTTGTCAAAGTATGCTGTGACATACCATCCAGCTTTTCATGGGACAACATTGGCATCTCTTGCTTCTTTGGAGCAAGAGATCACACTCAAACCAATCGTTTTTGCCTGCGAATCACTTAAGAAAAGCAGCCGATAGCCGTTGGTCATTTGACATCGGTGGAATGCAGCGTGCCCTTGCTCCAATTATGCACGATTTGGGTACTATCACTTACATACGGTCTCTGCTTCGGACTGCTAATTAGAGGCATGCAAGTGGTACAGGAAAAGCTTAGGTGGAACAGAAGGAGATAAGTGTTTCAAGATTGCTGCTTGGCTTTGTTATGTCAATTTGCGTTCATTTCGTAGATATGACCATACGGTTCGGAAGGACGTCGTTGACGTAAATTTGCAACGCCTGGAATTAATTCACTACAGGCTGTGAGCCTGGGAGTGGAGACCCGAAGCGGCCATTTGAATATGTGGGGTTTCAATCGCCTGTGTTCCCTGCGTGTTGTCGTTTTTAGTAGGCTAACAAGTGTGACGCCTGACGGAAAATCTGCATTTGCAGCGGAATCAATAAACCGTAGATATGTTGCTGCTGGGATCTACCACCATCAGGTGGAATCATGTTTTTGAAGCAATACGGGTGTGCGCTAGTTACAATCGCATTGGACCGTAATGCGCAGTAGAGGCCATATTTGAGCGTAGTACACTGGAACGTTTCTGTCGACGTCGGGATGCAAAAATGTAGCGCCGTTTATTATGCAACTGGAGGTATGTAAGTACCCAACTACCCACTTGATGCTGAAAGGATTTCGACACTCCTTTCCGACGGGGCCGCCATAAGCAGCACCAATCCGATATGAACGATTGACACCGCCTTCGAAAGACGGGGTGACCCGGAATCAAGGCCCCCCGAGCTCACGATGTTAGCGGTCTGGCTGCCGAAAATAGCGGCATGGTCCAAAAAATCGCCCGCGAAATACGGCTGTCTGCTCATGCTTGCCATCACCGGACACTGCGCTGCCCCGCAGCTCGACGGCCCACACACTGGATTGTTTATCGGCTGTTTGTCGAAGCTTCTCTCAGCTTTGGCCATGGGCGTGTGGTCTACGATCACTCACCTCACGATCCGAGCAATCCAACGTACACGACGGGGCTTCCGGCCATGCGGCGTCTCGACCAAACAACAAACCTACACGCACGCTTTGGCCATTGCCATTCATGATCGGCTTTTTGTGGCGGCGGGAACAATAGCCGGCGCTTGGCCCGCCCGCCGCCTGTGTCTGCCGCACCCCTTGCGCCGGACGCCGCCCGCTCGGGGCATCCTCCGTCGCTAAGATACCGTCCGTCCGACGGCTGCGTGACGCCGCTAGCTGGGTGCGTGCCACTGGCCTCTTTCGGCGATAGCGCGCGTTGATAACGGACAAGTGAGATGGAGGGAGGGGGGGGGACGATGGATGGTCGTGATAGTTCTTGTGGGCTGGAGGGACCGGACGCTGGGGGCTGGACTGGACTGGTCTGGACTGGAATGGAATGGACTGAGCTAAACTGAGCTGAACTGAACTCGACTGAGAAATCTTGTACGAGGATCGCGGGCCCGATGAATAAGTCGCAGACAGACAGTCTGCTAGAATTGTGGGCTTACAGAACTTTGCATGCATTTGAGAGGGCATGTACCTCACCGCAACAAGTTCAAGCGATTTAGTTCCGTCACCCTTGGACCGAGTCTGTCGACATCCAGTGTGCGCTTCGCCCCGGTCTCTCTGCATACAGTGGTTACGGCGCTCGTAGCAACGCGAAGCACAATTCTTGTTTGAAGGTTGCGCTGTGTGAAGTGTTTAATTTGGGGGGCAGGGTGTTGCATCAGGCGAATGAGACCATCAGCCACTCCAGGCACCACGCCCGCGCGTGGTCACATTGCTGTGCTCTCCGCCTGCCCGATCTACATGTCTGTCTCTTCAGCTTGATTGAATTGGTTGAACGAGTGACTGGACGCTTCTGTTACCGCCGTGATCGCCTCATTGTGAAACCTGGAGAGACTTGTGACCAGTGAGCTGGCGCGATGCGTCGTGACTCAGCGGGCGCCCGAGGCTCTCGACCGTGACCATAATGTTGGTGCAGCTCTCCACTGCGACTACGTAGTCCTTTGAACAGCGCCTCACCACCGACAACGGGTTTTGCTCCCGAATTCACCGCCTGCAAACCGACATTGCCAGTCATCGGGCAGCCCAGTCTGGGCGGATTCGACGTGCCGCGCCGGTCCCAACGCCACTCGACCGCTCCGACCATGTCGCCCGCGCCGGGGCCGCGCGTGACACTGAGCTCTCAGTGAACGAGCGACGCGAGGCCACAACATTTAACCTACAGGACAGTTTTAATGCGGAAAGCGTGCTTTTGTGAATGTGGCTGGTCACGCGCTTCCAAACATTTACCATGAAGCGGCCCTTTGCCGTTTTTTTTTTTAGGGGGGAGGATGTTGTCAGATCTCGGACCCAGAGAGACAGCGGTATGAAGCCATCCGTGCGTGTAGGCGAATATATCGTCTAAAAAGCATAAAGCGATCTCCGCTGATGCTGATCCACGGCTGAGTCAGCAGTCGACCGATGAACGGCTAATGCCACCTTTCCCGTAACCAGCCTGTAATACGACAGTCTCCGGTCTAAAGTCTGACAGGTTTGGCTTAAGCTAACTGGCTATCTTAAACATGAGTTGCGAACTGTGCGAGTGGTTGTCCAATTTACTGTGACCATACCCGCCCCGAATATTTTCATTTTTACAACACTTGGGTCAGCTTCACAGAAAACGTAAACCACGCCGATCTGTCGATTTCGTATATTAAACTTCGTGGCCTTACGAGCCTTGGAGCAATCCCATCTTCAGACAAAGTGAGTTTTAAGTTTGTACACGATCTTTCAAAAAAAAATTCTTGCCCTCAGCTGCTAAACTCAAGAAGGATATTCCAGGGCATTCCGACGGCCTTGTTTGTGCATACATCGATTCACAATGACCACATGTCATATTCCCTTATCTCTCGGCGTCGTCTACACTCGCTCTAACGCTGTTTCAAAGCCGAGTGAAGTCCACGTGAGCCTCTGGGGCGCGCAGAGGCAGCCAGCTGTCCCCCTGCTGTGTCCCGCTCGACCATCGGAGCCCGGAGCTGCGGGTTATCATACGGCCAGGGGTAGCTGGGGCGCGCAGAGGCAGCCAGGTGTCCCCTGCTGTGTCCCGCTCGGCCATCGGAGCCCGGAGCTGCGGGTTATGATACGACCGGGGGTAGCTGGGGCGCTTCACTTGAACAGTGTTTGCCGGCCAGTGATAATCCATGGCGTCGTTCCATTTGGACGTCGTGGCGAAAATCATACGCCAAAGCGAAAACACGCAGCGTGGTGAACAAATATTTCGTCTTCAGCTGGATCTAAGTACATCGATGGACTCCACCCTGCGCAAAACAATGGTATAATATTCGCCCAGGCCTACCCGATGTTGTGTTTGATGGAGGGATTCGGCGAATGAGGTCCAGCTTGCTGTCTTATGTGCACTCAGCTAAAGTTTAGCTTGTTTTTGTTTTTTAGTTTAAAAACTAAACTAAACTTAAATTAGTTTAGTTTTTTAGTTTAGTTGTTTTAGTTTGTCAGCTAAAGTTTAGCTTGTTTTTGTGTGACGGCCGTGACGCTCTTTCCAGGGTGTTTCTTCTCGGCGGCCTTCGACAACGTGTCCCAGGCCATTGCACTGCTTATTCCATTTGACTATCTGCTGATGATCACCGGAGGGATCTTCATCAACTTGAGGTAAGTCTTGCGTCCCTTGCTGAACATGAGAATGTCTCCGCAAGTTCCGTAACGTACTTCATCGACACGTTCTATTTGCTGCGTTTTACGATCGTTTTGAATTATTTGGCACTGCTTATCATGTGAAATCGCTTTGCAACGTTAGGCAAGCTTAAAGCAAGTGCAATGGTGCACAGGCGCATCTTTTATATACGACTGTGTTGTTACGTACTAGCCGAAATGAAGAAGTGCAGCTAGGATGTACATATATATTCGGGCTATGTGGCTGAATATAGCGAGAATTCGGCAGGACATTCCGTGGCATATCTGTGGATGACAAATGCTCCCACTATGGAGTAACGTGTTAACAACCACATCCGCCCTTTGTGAAGCATGGCCGGTATATTATTACATGAAAAATTGCGAAGGCTGATCCAAGGTCTTAAATTACCACAGGATGGCGTCCTAGCTTGCATCGTACAGTTTGTGGTGTTTGTAACGTATTCAAGATGTCCTCTTCACTGAACATGGTTAGGCTCCGTTTCCACTCGGTGTGTTTTTTTAATGAAATATTGCATTAGTATTCCACTTCTGGTACACCGTATGCACCTTCTTCATATACCATGGAATCAGCTGAACCCTGTTCGGTTTTTATTTTCGGTTCGGTTCGGTCTCGGTTCGGTTTCATTAGTATTGCACTTCTGGTACACCTTATGCACCTTCTTTATATACCATGGAATCAGGTGAACCGCGTTCGGTTTTCTCCAGCTCGTCTTGTCAAAGTGGTGACGTGGGGTGCTCGCGTCTGCACGCCATCTCCTCGGGAGCTATAGCCCCGCCTGCAGGTCACACCGAGCGCTGCCGGGGCCCGCATCACACGGGACGTGGACGCCCTCATCTGAGCTGGTCACGCGGGTTGACGATTTGGCGCGACGCGGGGCGAGCGCGCGCCGCGTGCGACGGGGGTTATTGGTCGGGCACACACGCGAAGGCCCGCGCGCATCCTCCCAGTCAACGAGCGTGGTGTGACAGCCCAGACTACGCAATCCATGTTGATGTCACGGTTCATCTATCTTATAATTCATAGTGCCTCCATGAGGTCATTGAGTCAACGACGGTAGTGCGCAGGGGTTTAAGAAAGTGAGTTTTGCGATTGATTGCTTATTGAAACCGGCTATCGAATAGCCGTAAAGAAACCTGTTTCCGCAAGTAGGGTACCAAATTTCGCGGTTCGCAGATTATCAGACTGAAGCAGGGCATGCTCTGGACAACGGTGCAACAGTAACGTCAAGATCCCGTGTAACTGCCTGTCTATTATCGTTTTTAGCCCTGTTCGAATGACGTGACACAAACGGATAAAGGAACGTAAGCGCCTTCATCGTCTTCAGGCGCAGAAAGTGGAGGAGAGGAAGAGAGGGAGATTGCACACTTAAGCGCTTATAGATGTCAAACCTTCCGAACTCTAGCAGTGGCTGTGGACGTTGTCCGTCCTCCCCCCCCCCCCCCTCCCCCTCCCCCTCCCCCGATCCCCTCCTCGTAAAAATCCGAAGACGCCGAAGGCCAAAACTATGTGGCCCCTTTCTTGTTCTCTTGTTAATCGTGAGATTACAGGAACCACTGGGCGGATGTAGGAAAATAACCCATATTTGATTCTTCTTGACGAGACCCATATTTCTCAGCCAAAAATGCTGGAGAAATATGTATAAAGAAAAATATGCCTAATAGGAGGCAGTGGGGGAGCTAAAAATGTTCAACTCACTTTTAATCTCACATAGTTTTCACATTTCTGAACCAATTTCGACGCAACCTGCACCTGGAAATGGATATGTTTTCGCATAATATAGCACATCAAAATAAATGGAGCGCACAGGAGATGCAAATGTGATGAGGGCTTTCAATTGCGCTTGCGGAGCAAATGAAAGGTTGCCTTGCTTCTGTACCAGAAAAGCAGATGTTGGCCAAGCTTTTGACGAAGGCAGAGTCCGAGTGCCTACTGGCGCGGGGAAAATGGAGGTTATGCGAGTAGTAGATATTTTTATCAGCCACAACACTTTCATGCGCTGTGAATGAATTATTATGCGCATACGCGTGTGTGGACGTGTGCCCCGGCGCATCAAGTTTTCCCTAGGCGTATTCAGTTTCCCGAAAGAGGGGGCAAAAGGACATGTGAGTGGATCGTGGTCCGTTGGCGTGGTCCTCAGCTGACGGTCCAGTGTTAATGCCTACAGTCTCTCTGTACCGCAGTGCTCCTCTGTTTTGCCATTCCCTGACTGACCTCTGGCATAGTTGTTTAGTGTCGTTTACTTCATGGAAGTGAAAGACAGGATTTAACGCACTGTTTAGGTCTTAATGGTCCTGGTGTCTTGCGTCTCCCTTACCCCCGCCCCTTGAGGCGCCCCTACCTAAATTTTTGTTTATTTCTTTCCTCTTGCCTCCCATGTGAATATATTTTCTTACATTATCCATTTATAGCACCGTAGTTACGGCATATTACAGTTTTTATCAATACACATATCGCAGGTTTTAGCCTAATTAATTTACGCTCACTCTCGTAAAAACACAACATGCCTTTGTCACTTATGAAATGTGCATTGATTATTTGTGCCGTTATTGGTTGAAGAGCAAATCCTTGCGTCCGATCGCATTCGTTACCGAAAGCGGCGGCAAGTTGGCTGAAAGCAAGTGGGAGCGGTCGGGCTGCGCCGGTGACAGGATGTTTTGCATTTCACTTTTATGGACTAAACAGCAGTCGAGTAAAGCGATTGCATGTCTCTTGGGCTATGCATGAGAAATGTAATCATAGATGATGGCTGATATGCGCGCTTCGGTGTCGTGGCTCGTTTGCCGATATGGTCATCACGCTTTGTTCGGTTGCATTGACAATGCATGACTGTCAGGTGTATCGTACATCTGAGATGCATTTAGATGCATGAGATTTATTGTCGCGATCATTAGCCGATGTCGTGAACACGCAAGCCACAGGAGCATTAAGTGCAAGCGATATGCAGTGAGACAGATACAAGAGATGCGTTGTTGTGGTGATTAGTCAATGTCATTAACACGCCTTGGCACCGGAGCATTACTAAAACATGCCACCCAGGGATGTGGACCATGTGACTTGTAGTCTAGTTTAATCAAGCAGGTATGGTAATAGAGCATCTGTTGTCTAGGTATCAAACATGTTAATCATTATGTGATGGATGGGACGCCGTAGGCATGTGGACTGGTCTTATTAGGAGGGAAAGCAAAGCAAGTGCTCGGTTTCGACGGTAAATGTGTGACCTTTATCAACTAGCATGGTGCATCAGCCAAGAGGAATTTAAACCTCGGTCCGCTGGAGAGCCTCGCTTGATCACCGGATCAACTGCTACCTGCGTCCTGCCACAAGTAGTGCTGTACTCACCACGAGACCTTAACCTCACCGGGTATAACCGGGCGCTGTGACTGCTCCCCCAGTTGCGTCATGGCATATAACCGCAGAGTATTTCAAGGAATGTTTGTGGTTGCTACGTGCGGTCTGCGTCATCAGTTCTCACTAGCCGCCTCAGCAGAAACAGTCAGTGAAGTTGTGCCGGCGACGTTGACATGGAAGAGGTGACCAGCACGCTCTGACAGCGGGCGCGTATCGCGTATGAACCGAGCTGTCGTAGAGCTGTTAGCGCGTAATTTGACGTTGGCGTAGAAGAGGTGGCCAGCACGCTCTGGCAGCGGGCGCGTATCGCGTCTGAACCGAGCTGTCGTAGAGCTGTTAACGCGTAATTTGACGCTGGCGTGGAAGAGATAGCCAGCACGCTCTGACAGCGGGCGGGTATTGCGTATGAACAGTGCATGTGTCGTAGAGCTGTTCGTGCGTAATGCTTCTACACCAGGACCTGCCCTGTATTACGCCCGCCCGCTCGGTGCCCGCTGAGGGAAGGCTTCACCCACGCGTCATCCCCCCCCCCCTTTCAAGCCGCGTGCCCCTGTCCGTCTACCCATCCCCGTGGAGTACCCGGGTGTTTCCCGCTTTATCTATTTGCTTTTTTTGTCTGGCTCTGTAAATTAATTACATACTTACTCCATCCCGCATAATCTCATCCACTTTTTACAACTTGTCCACTTCATATTGAGGGGAGCAATCACAGCGCATTGCTGCACCCGATGAGGTTAAGGTCTGTTAAAGAAATGGGAGACGTCCAGACTTCGGTGCAGGCTCTGCGATCGCCAGGTGTTGCAGACCTCAGAGATTGGCGCCATATCACGATAGGGCCCTGCATCAAACAACACTGCAAATGGCCGTCTCATCCAGCCGTCGTCGCGCAGAAAGCGTGGCTGCTGATCTAGCTGTGTCCGAGCCAGCGACCATGATGGTGCCACTGACTCGGCTTGTCTAGAAACCTGGCTGTTGGCGATGCTGGCAGACGCAGACAAGGAGAAGCCAAAGCTATCCATCACATTTAATGGAGCGTCACTATTATCAGAAATATCAGGAGGCAAAGAGGGGAGGGTGAGACGTCCGCTTAGCCCTCCAAAATTGAGCATGCAAACCACCAGGAACGTGGAGGTCTGGTTCGTGTGGTGGCGAGGAAACCACCAAAACAGTAGTTTAAAAACGTCCAGTACACGTGCAAACGGTGGAAAGAATGGCGAAAGTTGTCACTAGGGCAGCGTCAAAAATATCCAGACAGGAAGCTCAGCACAGCAGCGATGTATCGAACTTAACACCGGACTGCGCTGCCAGTGTTCCACAGCGACATATATTTTGAGTTTTTCTGCAAGCCTAGCCGAAGACTCCCGGCTCAGTCGTCTTTCATGCGTTCGACTACCGTGGCGCATCCCTCTTGTTGGGGTAGTGTTATGAGGGGAGGCATTCATGCTTTGAAACGCTAGCGTCCTTCTTCAGTTTGCCTTCACTATTATTGTATGTAAAAATGCGTCATGCAGTCTTTTCAAGCAAGGGTCACGCATGACCCTCAGAGGAACATTTCGGAGCTGTAGCAATTACTGTGAAAACAGGAGTTTTACGTACGCGACGGCTGAAGGGGAGAAAATGGACGTCACTTTTCGTGCTTTTCCGAAATACCGCTATGTGACTACGGTAAGTCTAGTCGCTATGTTTTCAGGCATCATGGCAAATTTTCACAATATTTAAGGCATTTAACTTATTTGAAGAGGGTATTTATACGAATTTGTATCCGAAGTGCAAAAATAAAGGCATTTCCAATGTGTTACCCCCTATAACACATGCACACAAAAGTCATAAAAATATGTCATAGGTGGTTTGCATCGTTCCATTTCTGCCTGAAACGACTCATCGTTCATTTCAACCTCGAGACGGATGGCCTGACCCTTCCGCTGAAGCGCGCAATAGTCTGAAGGATTCCATCATGTCTCAGCCACAATTCATAAACGTCGAAGTCGACTTCAACTCCATGAGGAGTCAAGCACGGGCCAGTCGTGCTGACTCCGACTCTTTCCAGATTGGAGAGGCCTTCACTTTTATCCCTTCCAAAGAAACGTCGTGGCCAGCATCAGGTCGATGCAAGGAGTCCCAGATGGCATAACGACTTAAACGGCTAACGACATAACGGCTTGTTCTCTCTAACAGTCACTGTTGCCCGTGTCCTCGCACTATGTCCAGAGACTTCTCCGAAATCTGGGGCGTGAGTGTATGGGCGTTTTTTTGTACGGGGTCAATTAGTTCTTTCTTATATCCGCTCAGTTCTTGCCCCCCCCCCCTCCCCATTCTGCATCGTACACGTTTGTCCTCAGTGTAAAAATCCTGCATCGCCACTGCTGTTGACCTGGCGTTTTACCTGGCTGCTTTTGCGTCACGCTGCTCTGCAGGAAATTCACGAAACGTGCTCTTAAAATCTTCTTTGTGCAATGTTTCACTCCAGCCTGAATTCATCACCCACGGAAGGGAAATAGCGACGGAAAAAGAGCTCGAACGAACTCGTATTACAGTCTTTATCAGACATCGCTATGCCCGCGGCTGACTTTTGACCGGAGCTATCCATCTAAACTGTGTACGTTTCCTTGGCGATCAGACATATCGCTTTCTTCAAAAAATGATATTGACTATCGGATACCTTCCAGAATAATGTCATCCTCTTGCGCTACTTTATGTCACTTCACGCTGCTCAGTGGAGGTTTCGATGGCCATGAAATGGAGATATAAAGGCGGTTTGCTATTCTTACGACACACGGACTGCGCGTGTCTCATAATATGCGTTCAGAACCATTGATATTTGTTTTCTGTCTTCCACAAACCGTCTACAGGTGCGTGATGGCGTGTTTACCAATGTGGCCGTTTTTGGTACCATCACAATATTGTAGGTCGCATGACCCGAGTAGAAAACAAAAAGTGAGCCGTTGACCCTGGCAAGAAATGACTGTGCGATAATTTTTTACTGGTTGGCGCTAATGCCCAGGTTATGTCTTTCATGCGCATTCTTGCATGCATTTTGATGCTTGGCTAAAATCGTTTTTCAGTGAAAAGGTATGAGCCGTACCGCTGCAATTTAGCCCCCCCCCCCCCCCCGCCCCTGACTGCAAGCGAGCGTGTTTGGACGAGCGATGTGTTCTGTGTTGGTTTGTACCCAATGGCGCACTGTTTCAGCACGATGCCAAAGTGGCTGTCGTGGACCAAATCTCTATCTTGGTTCATGTACGCCAACGAGGCGTTCACCATCATCCAGTGGTCGGGAATCGAGAACATACGTGAGTAGCCACCGAGGCCAGCGTCAGGGTGCCCGCCCCGGTCTGTTACGTGACGCATTGACCACCGTGTGAACCGACGCGGTGGCCGCAGCAAACGCCCGTATGACCGAAACTCGACAACGTACCGAATTGTCGTGGGATCCGCCGGCGTTAAGGTCGTTGTCACGGGCCACCGTACGAAATTTTTTCTACAATAGAAAGGGCGTGTGCACGTTTCCCCGGTACAAATTGCTACGTATTGATGGTCATACCAATGCAATAAAAACTGTTGCCGCTCCCGATGGGCCGCGTTATTGAGCCATCTATTCTTGCACTCCTGCAGTCCGCTTTGGCCTGTGCTTCCCTTCACAGCGCACAAGTGTGTGCACAAGTGTGCTGCCCTACATAGTGCGCAGTGCTCCAGGTGTGTTTAGAAACAGCGTCTCACCATACCATAGCAGCTTTCACTTGAGCGCGACGCCCAATGCTGCACGCGAGAGCGGCGTGCGTTGAAGTTGAGTGGTCGCAGCCAGCCCGTATCTTTCCTCAGAATCTCTCCTGACCAATATCTGACCAGAATTGCTTATGTGAACTCAAGCCATATCATTCGTTGTGCGTCGGGTCGACCTATGCTGTGCGCGTCGCCAAAGTTCTCCACTTGGCCTGTTCCGGCCGGCGGTTTGACCTGGATTTCCAGATGTGAGTCGTGGAGCTTACTCTAAATATAGCTCAAGACTCGCCTTGTTTGCCCGCAGCCTGCCAAGAAGCGAGCAACTCATCCGCGTGCCTTCGCAGCGGAGAGGAGGTCCTCAACAAGTACAGCTTCCACTCGGGCGACCTGGGCGTCGATTTCAGCGGGTTCATCCTGCTCTTCCTGTGCTTCCACGTGCTCGGCATCATTGCCTTGTGGCTGCGAAGTCGAAAGCAGTGAGCCGGGCAAATGCAGCGTGAGCTGGGTCCGCTACAGGGCATCACCGAAGCCGCCACGTTTGCGCTCAAGTGAAAGGCGACGAATGTCCCTGCAGCGGCCGCGGCGGGTCATTGCTGGGGGGACCTCTGTCCACGCTGGACTGTCGTCCCCTCGCGTCCGCCCCCACTCACGCGCGGCGGAGTTCCGCGTGGCGCCTCCGACATCGAGGAGTGCCGGTGTCCGGCGGGGCGGCGCGCACGCGGCGGCACGCGGCGGACAGCGTGTACGGCAACCCATGACAGCGATGCGCGGCCCTTTACGCCGGATCACAGCGCAGGCAGAGGCCAACGCGCCGTTTGCCTGGCGCGAGGTGTATCGAGGCGTGCTTATCAGCTCGTGATGGATGGGCATGCACGACTGCGAGTTCTGATTTGGTATGCTTTAGCCGTTTTAGTGTGCACTTAGATATAAGACCTGAGTGACGTTATGCGGGGAACGGAGCCGCTGCCGCTGACGCTTTGCCATGAATAGCTTCACTATCAGCCGGGTATATTTACGTGTGATGCTCTGTCGTAACCCCCTCTTGGTACGCCGATGCTCAACAAGGCGCATTGTTTGCAACGTACTGCCACCGGGTTTCAGCGTCGTCGTTGACACCAACCGCGCGCCGTACAAATTGCATGGATGCATTCGACGTACGAATACTCATCTAACCGTGCGCGTGCAAGCCTGTGTCTGCATCCCTGGTTTGTTTTCGCCTGTGTGACTGCGTGCGCAGGAGGACCGGCGGTCAAAGCCTCGTCCCGCCCTGCCGCCAACCGGTCACTCCGGGAACAACGTCGTCAATACGAACGCTTACTGCCGCTCCAGCTGTCGCATGTTCAGCAAAGGTCGGCGCGGCGACAATGCGCCTGACCTCGGGTCATGTGGGTCCAGTGGTCTCAGTGACCTCGGAGAACTCGGTAGAGGAGCGCGACGTGTCCTCCACGCTGACGGTGATCTCGTTGACGGAGCGCCCGGGAGTGGAGCTCGATCCTGAAACCGGTGACGGGTCAATCAATCTCTTGCCGTTGACCCTAATCTTGCCGTCTCTGGGGGAGAGGCAAGAGAGAACGGCCCGTAGGGCCGTTTATCGTGAGTTAAGATCACAGGCTAACGGTACAGAAAGTGTTTTTCAGCGTTCACCAGCTCGTAGACCACGTGCGCGTGGTTTTTGCTCCGATGCATTCATTTAAAGCACCCTGATCGTCTGATTGTGGCCCTGCTGGTTGCAAGTTGTCACAAGGACTGGTGGCTGGGCCGCGCGTAAGAGGGCGCATTCCCACGCGGGGAGGCGGAAGTAAACCGATGCAAGTGGAAACGGCCTCATGCCAGCGGGTGGGTTCGTTAGGTTTCCTGTGTGGGTCAGTTACACGACATGACCGAGGCTTTTTACGTTTGAAAATGAGGTTTTGAGGTTTTGGTTTTGGAGATTTTTGAGCATCAGGTTTTGATGACCAAACGCCACAACGAACCATATTTTAGCACCTGTAAACCTATGAAGGTCTCGAACACATCACCTCCAGAAGTTGCGCCCAGGTGTCCACCAGATTACTTCATATGCTGCCATATAAACAAACAAAAAAACGTGTCGCATGATCAGGAATGAAACACCAACGTCCTGATCCACCGGCAGCTGCTGCAGGTCAGGGATTGTTCGAATGGCGCAATAGGACGCAGCAGAATCAGGTTTCTCAGCAAAACGCCGGCATCGCAGGGACTCCTTAACGAAGAGAAATGTTAACCACGTCCAGCGTACGCTGTCTAGACAGGCTGGTCATTTTCTGACAACCTTACAAGGACACGTTTTCCTTCCATAACAAGTGTTTTTGTCACTCTCATAACATATCAACTTTAGTGGCGAATGTTCCCAGCACTCAGCCTGTGGTGGTAACGTGCTGAATGTACATTACAGTCAGCTGCTATTTGTCATCTGATAAGGACACGCAAACCTAAATTGTTACCTAAGAAATTTCAACGCTTTATTAATTTAATCAACTAAGAGAGGCAGACATAGCACAGTTGTTGCTAACCAAATTTGTGCTTGTTATACACATCCATCATTGAAAGGGCCTTCCAAAATCCCAAATTGGGTAAAAAGATGTGGTCGCCGTGAAGCCGCCGCCGTGGCAGCCGCCTGTAGCGCAGCTCCTGACTGCCTGTTCAGTTTGATCACCTCATCGTCAGCAGAGCAACGGCCCACCAACAGGCGACGTTACCTCAGTTAACGCGCACTCCGCGGCATAGTAGCCAACGCGCCTGGCGAAGGTGGGTAATTTGAGCAGCAATCACAATGCTAATGGCCTGTCCATTAAAAACGTGACGCCTTTACGGCTGTTGCAAAACCCGCTCCCCTAGTTGTGCATAGGTAACCCAACGCGGGACCCCCTGGCCGCGCTGCTGAAACATTTGTTTAAAAATATTTAGCATCAATTTCGACCACATCTGAGCGTGACCTTACGTCGTCCGAATCACTCACTCCCCACGTTTGTTGTTTTCTCCGCCTCAGTTAGGCTCCATGAGACCCCCTTTTCTCTCCACGCGTCACGTGGTCTGTAAACGGTCCGGCATGAGTCCGGCTTTGGGTAATATGGAGAAAAGACACGCTTGCACAATTCCTGCGTGCGCTCGAAGCACGTCAAACCATGCGTAGCTAGATCGAGGCGGCGCGGGACGGAGGGTACCGCTGAACAAGACTTGAGAGTCTAGTCATCCTTTTCTAGTGCCGGTGCGACATCTGTTGTGTGCTCCTGTTCCCTGCCTTTGCAGTCCTCGTGCTGCATTGAGTTGCAATGAAGTCGCGTGCCCGCAGCTACTTGTGGGCTTACGAAGCCGTGCAGTGCTCGAACGACGAACAAAAGCATCTCGGAATCACAAAAAAGCAACAAGGCAACAGCAGCAGACATTGTAATGGCGTAAAAAATATTTGAATGGCAGGCAGTGGATTATATAAGGGTGAATGGGAGGCACGTGGTCCATTCCTGTTGTCAAATTGCTTCCAGTATGAAAACCTAAGCATGTGCATAAATGTCGACAGCTAGACAATCAACTAACACAGGTGCAAATGAATATATATCGAAAACACGCCGCATTAACGTAGTTACGCTGACGCCATGCAAGTGCGCCTGCAGGGCGATTAAGTGTTTTGCTCTCTCGTCGAAGCCTTTTAATGGCACCCTGCTTTTTGACAAGCTATATGCGACATGTCATGAAGGTAGCAATATTTTTATGTTTGTATGTCGAAACGTGCGGTGAAAGCCTTCGAAAACGACGTGAAATGTGATCGGATCACACCGACGCGAGTCCACGCTCACGCGTTTTTGGTTTTGTGCCGAGGCTATCCACGAGCAGAGTTCCATTTCTTGTGAGCGCACACCAACAGCAAACATCCTTCTCGAGTTTTCCTTCACCCCTCCCATGAACACACCGACGCCATTTGCATGCGCCGTGGGTGCTGCCGGCGCCACAGAGCGGTTGCGATAGAACTCGAGCTTGCGAGATGTGCCGACAGAACTCACCTGACGTATAGGCGGATCCAGGGTCGTCGGCGGTATCGAGCCGCCCGCGCGACACCACGTCCTGGCCGAGCGATTGCTCCGGCGTGGACTCGCTGCCGCCGCTGGCAGTGGGCGTCTGTGGCGCCGGCGTGCCCTCCAGCAGTGGCTCCATCTCGCCCTGCTGTCGCGCCACCGCCCGCTTCTTGCCGCGCGCCATTAAAACGCAGAACAGCAGACCGGCGGTGAGCAGCACACCGCCGACGGCGCAGGCCACGATCAGGCCGATAGTCCGCAGGTGGAGCCACTCCTCCTCCCGCTCGCGCGCCTCGGTCGCGTCCAGGTAGAAGGCCGGCACGTAGCGGTCCTGCTGGAGCACGCCCAGGTCCTTGGTCAGCCGCGACACGGCCTCGCGCTCCTCCACGCTCACGTACTGCTCGGTGGACAGCGTCGGGATCAGCAGCTCCTCCAGCCACGAGATGACGTTCTCGTAGAAGGCCGTCATCAGCTTGAGGCGGGACGCTCGATCAGTGACGTGCGTCACCTCGTTGACCTGGCAGCAGAGCGTGTTGGCCAGGTGGTTGCGCAGCTCGGTAGAGCTGATGGCCACCTCCTGGCCGCCCGGGAAGCGGACACGGCCCGGGCTGGGGCTGCTCAGCAGCAGAGGGGTGTGCATCTTGACGTGCGAGGCGTTCCGGTAGTTCTCAGGTGCCTCGCGGCCGATGAGCTCCGCGCAGTTCTCCACGTGGCACCCCTCAGCCAAGATCCAGTCCGGCACAAGCACTTCTTCTCGCTTGGGCCGTAGGCGCCACCGGCCCGTGCCGTGGAGGAACGCCTCGTGCGTGCCAGGGCCCAGACAGGGCACAGGCAGGGACATGGCGAGCAGGACGCACAAAGTGCTGGGCCACATTTCATGATCAAGGAGTGATGGTCCAACCTTTCAATCAGGCCACACTGTTGGAAGGGCTCTTGCGTATGTCTGACGTCTTCATGATCATTTGCAGTGCGTTAGGCGCTACGCTGCATCAGCATCATAAAAGCATGCATGACAAAATAAGGTGACACAGCTTCAGAAGTTGGCAGTTCACTGAGTATGACCGTTTTAAAAGCAAAGCCGTCGTATCGGCATCAGAGCATATAACGACATAACTAAAAGAATGCTGGCTTGTTCCATGCTAGATCATATCCTAAGTCCACTGCAGCTGCTGACCGTTCCGTGGGTTGGAATGTTCATTTTTGATTCGGATATTTGTTGCAGGCAAAGTTCCGGTCCTCGTCTTCGAAAAACTTCGTGCACGTGAGATGATGCCAACAAAACCTCCCGATAAAACTTTATGTGGTCTCTTACTGAAGATAATAGCTAAAATTCGATATACCAGAAAAGCCAATTAAAACACATTTTAGGCAATCATATTTCGCCACAGCATGGCAATCAGTAGCCCCGGAATAATGAGCTCTGAGCATTGCCAGTATATGATTATAACTCACGACGTTGAAGTATGGGAAGTTAAGACTCCCTCAATTATATCATTCATGAAGCCTATAACAACGCCATTTGTTTACATCGTACCAATAACACTTGCCAGGGATGCATTATGGGCATGCTTATTATATGCTTTGTTGGACATCTTGCTACGCGTTTGAGTGGGGTGGGGATCAATTTGACCCCTAAGGTTTTCTCCAGAATGATCTACGAACGGCGCGGCATACCCACGCAAAGTTTTGTCTAGCTGTGGAGAATCGAATAGCGGATATCTGAGTATAGATTTATTAGACATACCTTGTAAGCTCGCAGATGTATGGCAGGCCAAGGTCAGGCCGTTGCTGTCAGCGAAGGGCATTGCATGAAATCGTTCAACGTGGTTCGACAGCGGAGTGTTAGACGTAACCATACACCTTGTAGATGGTTTATTAGGCAATCAACCAATTCATTTAGAATTAGAACAAATTCCAGTGACAAAGTGTCAGGTATGGAGACTAGGTAGACTGAGTCAAACTGACCAATATTTTTCCTTAAAAGCTTGGCTAAAAGGGTAGCCTCTGGTGCTCATTTCGAATTTCTTAATGACAGGGACCGAAGCAGATACGTTTCATGAACCTTTTAAAGGTCATAGTACATATCTGACCTACAATGGCTCAGGTAAGCATTCTGTTTTTTAGGGGCATATCGCCTACATTAATCCCTGATGCCTTTTTGAGCGGAAAATTAGGAGCAATCTCATACGCATTTGGTCAACTTGACCTTTTAAAATTCAAACAAGGCCACTGACCTCAATTGACCTCCATTAAACATTTGCTTAGAACATGTATCTAGCTTTACGGTGGCTACATGAGGAGTTTTGGGACACCTGAAACACCAATTTTGAGTTTTTTAATAAATTTGATCCAAACTTTTTGAATGGCCGGATTTCTGGGGTCAGGTATCACGCTGAGCACTGCTTATTGTGTGAGCCCTGACCCTACCATCCGGGGTGCCGAAAGTTTGGTGGTTCACGCGTCTGCGTTAACCACTGCGCGTCTGGAAGACCAGAGGTACGGAATTTGATTCCCCGCGGTGGCCGCCCTTCTGCCAGGGTGAGAGGCAGGCGACGCCGTATAACCTCAGCAGTTGGTGCGTCGTTAAGCCCCAATAACAACGACAACGACCCCTGCCATTCCATCGCACAATTCCAGATCGACGGCGGACTTTGGTGGCGAAAGTTTTACGTGCCACCATGGTGGCACGGACCGTCCTACCTGCTGACGTCGCCTAACCTTTGACGCGACCGCTGCCATCGGCTGCAGGCCATACCCGTCAAGTTCGACCCCATTTGATCCCAAGACCATAACCTAGGAGCTTCAAATGTTGGTGCAAGTGAGTTCACGTAGCGGCTACCCCCTTGTGAATTTGGTGTTTGTAGCTATCTCAGTTTTTGAGATCTCAGGGGACCAAGCTGACTCCTTCACTTGAGTAAAGCGTATTTAACCGGTCAGCCGGGTGCGTGATAATTAGCATACGGACACATTTTCTGTTTGGATACCAACGTAAAGCTTTCTATGTCGGGATGCACATGGTTAAGAGCGCTTTGATCCATGCAGTTTCTGGATAGCGGTGAGCCGGTGGAGGGGGCGGGGGGAGCACTTCTGATCACCAGGTTCTGGATAGCGGTGGACCGGAGGGAGAGCGCTTCTGATGGCTGTAGTTTCTGGATGCGGGTAGATAAACGTCCCATTGTAAATATGCTGAACCGAATTAAAAGCCTGCTGTTATGATGTTAGCGGGAAATGCATGCAATATATGAGACTTGTTCATGGAAAGTGTTTCAGTTACTAAGGGGACGTATTTTGATCTGCAATATGTAACTTAATTTCTTTGAATGTCCGTAGGACTCTCAACACTGTCGCTACTCTTGTTTGAGACCAAGTTGTGAAGCCCAAAGAAATTATGAATAAGAGATGACGTTGAAGTTTTTGTTAGGATGAGTTCGTTAGCTAATCAACCAAGGAAGCGTTCAAAAAGTTACAAACTGTGCAGACATCAATTAGCCAATTATTAGCGGCCGTGGCCGCAAACATCCATGCACCGGCAGGGAATTGATTTACATGGATCCACTAGCCATTGCCACTACGACTCATGCACCCGGACGACCTGTTCAGAATTGGCAGCCTACCAGGACCACGGGCCCGCACATGCCCAGAGGATGGAGCTTGCTGGACCACGCTGGTGACAGTGACGGTGACTGACAGTGACAGCGACGGTGACTGACAGTGACGGTGACGGTGACGGTTTTCAGGCGGCAGAGGTCAGACTCGCCCCACTGGTGGCCTGGCCAGGTGTTTGGTCCCGTTGGATCGTCGGCGATGTCGGCGCTAGATGTCACCGCTGCCCTAGTAGGTGGCGCCACTGACAAACATTCCACGGAGGGGGGGGGGGGGGGGGGTAGACACCCGTCGGCAATAAGGCTGGGCGTTGTTGGCACGAAAGCTGGGTGGGAGACTCATCAGTCATCCTCGTGCTCCGCTGGTATGGCTATCAGGTGTAATCCAGGCGTAAACACCAGCAGCAAGAAAACCGAGTCGAAACAAGCTCAAGCAAAACAAGCCAAGCGGAAGCTTAAACCTCGCCACATCTATACCTGAAAGATACGTCTCCAGGTTATGCCTTACAAAAAGATCCGTGCGGTGCCACGGGTGGCGCCCATGTTCAGAGCAGATACTCCAGGCGCGGTCTGCGGTGGTGCTCAGAGCCAGCTTGTGATAGCAGAGCTGCTGGCGGTCGGCGCTGTCGTCTGTCGCGCTGTGATACGACGCAGGCTCACTCAGCACTCGTCCACACAACCAGGGTGCCCTCGCTCTGCGAGGTAAGAGTCCAGGCGTCCCTGATGGCGTGGCTGCCACCAGAGATGCCACGAGAGCGAGCCGCCATCGCTGCGCTTCCAGTAGAAGTGATAACCATCACGTACAGACCTGCGCCTCACGTTCGGCCCGTGAGCAGCCGCGGCCCTGCGCAGGAAAGGCGGGCGATGGTGACCGGACCTGCGCGGGGGACGCGGGGTGCGATGACCGGACCTGCGCGGGAGGCGCGGGAGATGTTGACCGGACCTGCGTGGGAGACGCGGGAGATGTTGACTGGACCTGCATGGGAGACGCGAGAGACGGAGACCGGACCCGTGAAGGAGACGCGGGAGACGCGGCACATGGTACCGTGATGTACAGCGTCTGATAGCGTTTGACGTCACCCGTCCCCTGGCGTCACCCGTAACTTGACGTCACCTGTCACCTGACGTCACCTTTCAGCTGACGTCACCCACGCCCTCTCCTCACACACAGCCGGGACCCGGACTCCATTGTCAAACGCCGTCCACAAGTTGCAACCTATGACGTCTCAGGTAAGTGTGACGCAATAGTTGCCACACATTGTATGGTGATGATGATGATGTGGGGTTTTAGGGCGCATCGACTGCTGTAGGTCATGCAGCGTCCAATGCCACGCCTTGTAGTAGAGTCGCTTATGTGTGACGTAGATACTCCAAACGTCATACGTGGTGGTCTCAGTGAGATACTCTGCCAATGAAAAACAAAGGCCAGATCAGCCTCAGTCTGGCCGTGAGCGGGACCCGGTCCCTTGGGACCCTTGCCTGTGCCACCACATCGGGCCCCGACGACCCTTGCTCGAAGTTGGCGCCACGCCGCGGCTCGCCCCATCACTTTCGGCAGATGTCGCTGCTGGCGGTGCGCGCCCTCTGCCGCGTCCTGCGCACCGTCGGCGCCCCACTAGCGCGCGACCGCAGCACCTGGCCGGCCGTGCCATGTCAGCCTGCTCGAAGCCGTCCATGACCCCGCCAGCACACGCGGCGCCGAAGAGGTCACGAATCGTAGACTCTCGGCCTGGATCGCCCCCGGGCAGACGCATGCGGCATGAACCACCAGCTGCAAACAAATTGGTCGGTCGCCTCCAGCTCTGGAGGCGCCTCGGTGGTTTTCATAACCTTGCTGTCACCCTCACGCCAAACTCAGATCCGGTCTGGTGCACAGACCAGACAGACGCAAACCAGAGCACACAGACCAGACAGAGCACCGTGAGAGGACGGTGCTCTTGTTCAAACGGTAACCGCGCGCGCGGGCTCCAGAGGTCGCGCAGACGTCCGCTGGCACCAGCTGTCTTTTCCACAGGTCATTGCATTTGCCGCACAGTTCCAGTGGCCCAGCTTGATGTGGATACTGAGCGGGAAAAAAACCCAGCCAGCGACAGCGTGACCCGTTCACGCCACACCGAGAGGCGATCAGGACGGCCGAGACGGCCGGGCCGCCGAAACCGCGCGAAGTGAACGAAAAGATCGCGAGAACGCCGGTTCTGCTCGTCTAGGACGAACCGCGATCTCGCGTTGCAGAGCGGCGATCGCGCCCGGCTCAGGAGGCCGCTGTTATGGGGTTCTGATGAATGCGGCTCTTCGCCGTCATCTATGCAGGCGCGTAATGCTTTGGCTGTACAGGAAAACATGGCAGAACTTACCCCAAAAATGTTCAAAAAGGGCCGGGCTGCACAAGCTTTTCTTCTCATTCAACCTATGTTTTTCTCAAAGTCGGGGCTGAGGGCCTGTTACTGAATGGGAATCAACATCCCTGATGCCTAATTTTTTACTTAAAAGTGTAATCACTAGCTTCTTCGCCCAGAACAAGGGTTAACGTGACGGAAAGGTAGATCTAGCCCATCGCTACCGCTTTTGCTGAGTTGGAAATTA